CACTAAAAATTGCTTCTTAAAATGCCTTATTTTCCAGATTAATGAGGAAAACTTCACTTTTGTTACTTTCAAGACAGATGATTCTATCAAATGGAAGCTCATGTATTCAATAATTTCTTTTTGAGGTGAGATTTTACTTTTCAAGTAACAAGGGCCATCAAATTAACAATCAGTGTGAGAGACTGACATTTTTTAGTAGCCCGGTTTTCAAAAAACCAGGTATAAGTACTTTCCTTAGTATACGCGCGAGTTACTAGGGTGCCTCCGATCCTCGGGATTTCTGGGCGAAATCCCTGCGGGGGCAACAATATAGAAAAATTTTAGAATCGCGTTAGGACTGCAGTGCTCTACCATTTAAGCAATGAAGACCCATATATTGAGAGCAGGCCAATTTGTTGAGTTCATCTTAACCCGTGAAAGGAATGAAGCGTGAAGATGATGTGAACTGCGAAAATACAAAACAGTTTAAACGTTCAGATACGATCGTCGTAGCGGTTATTGCAATTTAAGCAATTGCAAAACAAAAAACAAAAAACCTTTCGGTTTTATTTGAGTATAACTTCAATAATTTCAATTTACAATAAATGACTTCAAAATCATTCTTTTGTTAATTTTAGGTCAATGGACTTTCCAACAAATTTTGGGGTTGGGGACGTGAAGATGATGAACTGTCTTTGATAATAAAAGAGGCTAAATTATCAGTAAGTAATAATATTACTAACACCACTGAAACTCATGCAAGAGGACGCTCCTGGAAAACACAAGCAGAGGGTCCACAACTGGAAGCGGCCACTTTATATAGGAATAGGGAGCTTACGAATCGACGACTTTCGCATGTCCCTAATGTGGTACTTGAATTATCTGGAAAAATCCGCTGAAGTATGTAGGGAAAACTTTGAAAATTAGTCTCACGTCCTGCTTTTTATAGGACGCCGGCGAATCGCTGTCAACAACGGCGTCGACTTTGGCGCGACGCCGGCAAGTGCCCAGATAAGCATGCGCAGTAAGCCTGTCACGCAGTCCAACGGCGTCGTCGTGCGAAAGTCGTCAATTCGTAAGCTCCCTAATGATCCTCTTAAGCTGCTTTCCCGGGCGGAGGGGGTATCCCTGGGAATTATTGGTGGGGTTGTCCCGCCCGGTTCTCCAAATCCTGACCCTATTTGAGACCAAAAGATGTCAATTTTCAACCCGTTTTCAGACCTAGCCTTCAAGAAATTATTTCATCATCACTTAGATTAGAACAGGAACAAAACCGTTTCTAAAAATCAATTTGGAATTCGAATATTTCTCTTTCTTTCTACCTCATTTGGAACTGAAACGATGAATACGTTCATACAATCCCCTAGTTCGCTCGATGACTGTACCCGATTCCAGACCAAAATGGGCAAAGTCTATACCCGTTTTCAGACCAAAACGGCGCAAAAACCCTACCCTTTGGGGCAGCACATACATATACTGCTTATATAAGGGAGTACAACCGCGGGGGGACTACTACTAGCAGTTTGGTAGGAATGTAGAGCGGGCTCAGTGCTGCTTATGGGAATGTCCGTTAACAGAACTTTAACTCCAGTAATGTTAGTAACACCTACATGGCTATTCTCAGATCTCTCTGTTGTGGCCAATATTATTCACGCACTGAATCAACTCAATTGATAATACCAATCTCTCTGCTGCTTCTCCTACTGGAACAATTTGGAGACCATGAGATTGTTAAGGGTTAAACTTGACAAGATTATGCCCTCACAATGCCGGGATGATGGTGCTGCATCTTTTGAATCCTAAGTGACCGGCGTTCGTTTGAAGTGCTTAAACTAGGTTTTCCAGTAGCTGAAAGCAAAAATCACTAGTAGGTTATGCAAATTCAGTTCTTTTGTCAGTTTGTCAGTTTTCTCAAAATCAACTGGGTAAGGGGAAGAGTCCTTCTCCTGTCTCATTCTCCGTTTTCACCCTCGCTCCAGACCTTTCGTTTGACTGCTCGCACGTTCTTGACCTTCGCGAAAATACGGGCTGTTTAGTGTAGTTAAGTTTAGTATACTGCTGGGAACTGTTAGCAGACAACCTGGCTTAACCTTAGGCATCTGTATGAGATCATTGGTGTAATACTTGTTCAATAATTGTCAAGAGTGAACGGAGAACTTAGTCTTCTTTTTTCCACAATGAACAGAATAAAACAGGGAACGGAGCGGGGAACGGGGCGTAGGACGGAGTGGGAAACGGAGCTGGGGACGGAGCTGGGAACGGAGGGAGAGGCGGGGGGGGGGGGGGGGGGGGGGTAAAAAGTTAAAGGAGAAGGGGGTGGTTTTATCTTTTTTTTTCACAAAAAGAAAAAAAAAAAAAAGGAAGAGGGGGGGGGGAGGGGGGGGGGGCGGGGGGGGGAGGGGGGGGAGGGGGGGGATAGGGGAATGGGGGGGGGGGGGGGGGGGGGGGGGGAGAGACTCTAAGTTTTTTCAATGTTCCCTGTGATCCACATCCCATTTACTTCCATCTACCCCTCTATAAATACCCTAGGCTGATAATCTCAAATGTCACAATTTTTTTCGTTACAAACTCTTTAATTCTTTCATCGTGGCTATTAACGTTAATATTGTTTGACGATGTTGATATTGATTTTAGATTTATCGCCACAGCAGCAAACAAATAACAACTGGTTATGAAACGTTTAAACACGATCATGACCCAAAGAAAAGAAAACGAGACTACGCAAGGTTTTATGACCAGAAGAAGGTGGGTTGGTACATTTACATGTAGGCAACTGATACTTGTTTATACCATGGCTAAGTCATCTCTCGATCTGTGCTTGGTAAATTTTCGCTCTTTAACTTGTGTACGGACCAAGAGATCTTTCTTTCTCCTTCAATCATGCAGCTACAAGTGCGCCTATCTCCGAAAAAGCCATCAAAACGATAAAATACTTTTGTTTTTCAACTTAGAGAATCATGTAGTACGCTTTCATTTGCTTGTTCTGTAACATCGTTTGTTAGGCACCAAGTTCTTGTTCCACAAAAAGAAAGTCACATGATATATATCTTACTATACCCACGAAGTAACTTCCAATCCTATGAATTACGGATCACATGTTTTTTGTTGTTGTTGTTTTTGTTTTTAAGTCCTCAGTTGTTATTGGATACCCTCCTGACCATTCGTTAGACTTGAAATCTTGAATTTCCGCATTTGTGTTCGTGTAGTCTTTTCAGGTATCGTTTCAAGGAGACAGGGAAACAGGAGTTACAACAGTCAAGTACAACATTGCTGATAAGACTGATCTTGTTATTAATGGGACACCGTGCGTGATTCTTAATGTGAACTTGCACTGCAATGTACAAGAAACACCGTGGTGTGACAATCCTGACTCGTGAGAGATGAAACTTGAAACTCATAAAAGCGTCATATAGATGCAATTTATAAAAAAATCTGTGTGAACCAGCATTAATTGGAATCAGTTATACAATGTACATCTACGTTCGCGCGTTCCATCAGTTAACTGGCAACTAGTTGTCGCTGATGATATTAGAGAAAAGACAATCGAAACTGCCAGTATTGCTTTGTGTATCGCTGTTCGTTTGACATCGTAAGATGAGAATCATGAGATATGAGTTTCTACACCTGTATCGCATATTAGAGTGCAAGTTAATCAAAAGACCTCTGGGCTGTAATTAACTCGTGAAACTAGTCTTCAATTATTATATGGCTGAATCCGTAAGCGGGCAAGATTAAACGAAATCCTGCGTTCTGATTGGCTAGCCAAGCGGGCGAAGGATTTCTCTCGTTCTTTCCCGAGAAAATGTTGTCTTTTTGGCCATAAATTATAATAAATCCTTTATTGACCAGGCTTGTTCGATCAAGGTGGCTGTCTATTGTCCTCGACTCGGTCAATAAAAACAGAAAGAGGAATTTAGCCAATATACAGCCATCTTGACCTTCTGCTTCGTCAATAATGGTTCATTCAATTCCAAGCCTGCCCATCCCGCCCTTGCCCCAGGCATTTGTCATTTTTTTTGGAAAAGCTGTAAATGCCCCACGGTGGAGCAAAATAAAGTGGGCAAATGCCCCACCCCTCGCCAACACTAACATTGCATTTTCCAGTAAATAAGCTGAAAATGCCGTATTAAGTTTATAGGAAATCTTTAATAATCTGATCAAAACGTGTGAAACACCCTACGGAAAGGCGCTCCTAGCAGCCAGTTATAATTATTGCAAAAAAGATTTATCCTCTCTCATTGATATCAATGATAAAACTATAAACTAGAACTTAAATAACACCCTTCTTATTTTCGAAGTTATTTAAAATAGTGAATGATAAACAAATAACCGACAAGCTTATAAACATAATTATTTTGTCATCACAATGGAACCGTCCCGTCAACGTCGTCGCACGGATCATTCAAAACACGAAATTTTATATTAGCTTTCAAATATCTCGCATACTTTTTCTAGGCCTCTCTGCCTCAAGCATTCGCTCACAAAAAAAGTGCCTTTTCCTTTAAGCAATGAATTGATTGTTTTTCATCCATGTGAGAACTGATCACGTTGGCTAGTATAGATCGCGGGAAGCAGTTCCTTAGACACCGGATACAAAATACTGTGTGGTAAGGTGGTGATGAAGCAAAAACTAGACGTATCTTTTCAAAGATATGTGTTACATGTAAAAATACTCTTTGTAAAAATATTAATACCTATCAAAAAAGGTATACTTTAAAGTGAAATATTGACAAAGGAAGAATGATAACTTTTTCTAGAAGAATTCACAAATGCCCGGAGGTGATGGACACTCTTGGAATTGACTTAGCCATAAACAATAAAGCAAGCATTAAAAAATAAACCACAAAGTTCAGTGAAGCGGAAGAAGAAAGACAAGTAGGACAGAAGGAAGTTAGTATAAAAAAGTAACAATATCGTAAATTTCGAAAGCCAACTGTAACATCTTTTATTTTATAGTTTTTTTTTTTTCATCAAATCTGTGACAATAGTTTGTTTTGCTTGATTTATCATTTCAACAGTAGTCTAACAGAGTGTGTCACAGCTAAGTTATTTAAACGACCATTGCGAATCAAGCAGATATATGCAGTCTGACAACCGCTATTTGTTGGTTTAGGACCGTTTAGAAGTTGACTTGTTTGAGTTTCATTTCAGCTCGTTTAGCGGAGTAGTGATAACCCTTCCAGAGATACCAGTTCACACCATCAGCAAATGAAGAGTGTCTTCCGCGGTGATAGAGCCCGTTCAGGTTGGACTGATGACAGTTCTGGTACCACCAAGCCCCCTTGTAACTTATAGCACAGTTACCAGACGAGCCATCATTGTCTTGATCTTTAGTGGAGAAAGAGTAGCCTCTGTGAGAACTTAGCGAGTCACCAGCATTTCCTGGAAAATGAAGTCGAAAAAAGTGATATTTTCTTAAATTTATAGAGTGATTTTACTTCGACCATGAAACGGATTCAATGTTTCCCGCTGTGTCTAGATCGTAAAATCACGGTTATGTGGAACGCTCCATATTGTATTAATTTGCTTTACTCTATAAATTTTGATAGCTGTGTGATTATTACATACTTCACTGTATGTGGGACTAGTTCATGTATCTATGTAGTGAGTCTTTATTTCTTTAACGTCAAAATCAATAACTTGGGCCTTTCTAAGACGTTTCCCCGAATTGGATCCATTTTTAATCCAGTAAGTAATACAATTACCGGAGTAAGTTCCAAGACTCAGCTTGTATTTGCTTCTCTCGTCTGTTATAGCAAAGTAGCTGTACTCGGCATAAGCTGTGTTTCTGCTGACGTCATCGAGATCCACCCGAAGTTTGCTTTTAGTTTTTGTCAGGCGGTGAATTTTGTCCAGTCCGAGCCAAAACTCGCCATTTAGATTTCCGAACCCTTTTTTGTAGTCGTTCCAACCGCGGTAGAAATTAACCGAACCATCCAGTCTCTTCTGGAACACTGTCCATCCCCCACCGGCTGTTGTTTGGTCACAGTACACGTCAAAGACACCAGTACCGTCTGGGTCGATCTTGTAAACTCCGCTTGTTCGTTTTCCAGCTTTGTACAGTCCAGCACAGTTCTTCCCTGGAAGACATGACATTAGCACTGCATGTTAATTCGGTGTATTCGGCAGGACATGGCTACTTTACAACTTATAATATACTGCTTTGCAAGCATGACACTGTATAAGAACCTGTGTAAGGAATTCAGGCCCGGAATAATGGCGCTAAACACCTACCAAATTTGGCCTAACTGTCTACTGGGCAATGACCCTCCCCCCCCCCCCCCAATGAAAAATTCCTCGATCTCCCCCTGCAAAGATGTTACTCTGTGTTCGGAGCCAATCAAGGCTTATGCTGGCGCGTGCAAGTAAATCAATTTTTTTCGAGTTAAGAGGCTCACTTGTAGGACGAAAAACAGTATAATTTTTTTTTATTTAATATCAAAATTGTGCCTGATCATGTGTATCCTAGAGGAACAAGAGACATATTTGTTGCGAGCCTTTCTAATCATTCGGTTTCCTGTGGCTCGGTGGTTCCTTGCGTTAAAACATCCCGACTAAAAGCCAACAACAGGGAATGAGCTCTTCGGAAGCCAATGAACTAGTGGCCACATTCGGATCTCAAAAAGAGATTTGGACAAGTTGAAAGGACAAAATCGAAGGAACTGATCGGCGAAAAGAGAAAAGAAAGCCAGGGCAAACAAACGAAAACGCACGATATCATTTTTTCCGACATTAGTCGGTTTGGAACACAAACCTTTGTCTGGGGCTGATACTGTGGGGTCGTTACCAAAATTGAATTTAAAACTAAAGTACATAATTATAAACATAATCGGTGATTACAAAGGTAGTCTAATAAACCTGAACTGACGCAAGTAAGGAATCAAAAATAACGACCTGGCCCTGGTTGATCAAACGACCGATCATTTTTCCAACGGATACCGTGTGGAACGAAATTTTTGCGGGAGTTATTTTTTGCGGATTGGCGGTTTTTTGTGTTTTTGTGGGAACTAATTTTTGCGATTAGGACAGACTGTTTTTTCTTGCTGGTGATCAATTTTTGCGATTTCAGAAAGTACCCAGTACCCTGCAGCATTGATAATATTGTCGTTTTTTTTAGTACGTGCAATAGAAATACATATTTTCAAACAATACTAAGTGTGCGTCAGTATTTTTCGGTAAAAAAAGACCAGTCGTGATTGAACAGACACGTTTTCTTGGTACTGTATTCTTGTGTAGTGAATTTAAGTTAGAGCATACAGTATTTCCTCTGGAGTAAGTTTTTGCGGGAAAAATTTGTGCGGTAATTTTTATTTGCGGGAACTTATTTTTGCAAAGTACTGATCTTATAATATACTGCTTTGCAAGCATGACACTGTATAAGAACCTGTGTAAGGAATTCAGGCCCGGAATAATGGCGCTAAACACCTACCAAATTTGGCCTAACTGTCTACTGGGCAAAATATTCGTAAATTGGACCAGTTTTCCGTACTAAGCAGCGTACAAAATATCGACAATATCAATTAATTTTCCAATTTTTTTTGTAAGTATTCAATTGCACGATTTTACTCTTGTACTTTATTAATGAAGAATTTTCTAAATGGCGTACAATTCCCTCTTAAATACTTATTAAATGAATAGCCTGCAGGTTGGAAACAATTTTTACCTTATGTGATACCCGAAAAGAATAGTTAGTACTAAGTAAACAGTAATGGTTTGAAAACATGCCCAAAACTATCGAGACAAAACAACTTTTCTAGCAAAACGCGATTCAGCCGCCACTGTTTTGGTTTTCAAAGCCGGCGCTTTTCGCTACTAGTGTGCTATAACATATAGCCTAGTAGTAGCTCGACCAATCAGAACGCAGTATTGATAATAAACCACTAGTTGGATTTTACTAATAAGGAATACTAGCATGTATACCAATGCATTTCTTTCCATCTCCTGAGTATCCAAGTTTGCAGGTGCAGTTGTACGACCCTTGAGTATTGCTACAAACTGCATTCACATCACAGGTATGGGATTTGTTTCTGCATTCATCTACATCTAATGACGGACGGAATAAGAACAACATATGTAGTCAGTGAATCCTAACTAAGACAACTAACTATATGCGTTGTGCCTTAATTTTAGCCATGGCGGGGTTTGTTTTAGGGGATAGCAAAGTATGAAAATGTGTATGAAACAAAAGAAATTAAGAGCGGCTCCGCGTAAATATCAACTAGACGTGGCAATAGTCAAAAAATGACCTGGCCTCAAACTCAGCCAGAATAAAGCCCAATGGGCCCTAGTTACAAAATCGTTGGTTTAAGTACGATCGATTGAATAATATTTTTTTAACGAATTTTTTTCTTCCCGAGGCCTAAAATGGGCAAAAATC